GAGTTCTGTTAGATGACCTGGAAGCTGATTTCTATCTGCCATCTACTCTCCCCAGGCTTTCTCATGTCCCCTTCACCACTAACAAATGCAAGAAAGGGTTAGTGATTTGTGACCTCCCTGGTTATAACAACTTGCCCAGAGGCCAGTGAGCCAGGCAGTGTGACGCAGCTCTGAGCTTTAAAGGGTGGGAGCGTCTCAGCCCTCCTGTGGGAAAAAAATCAGGCAACCCTCTGAGTCCCGAAAAAGAATTTGTTCTTTAATGAATCTTCAGCAAAAAGCTACCAGCAGGAGAATGGGAAACAAAACGGAACTGAGAAGACTAAGTCAAAAAGGGTTGTAGAAAAAATCTATACCGTATAATATGTACGGTAGTAACTATCTAATCTATAGTATTATAGCAAGACGACATAATAATGACTGAGTTTATTTATATACCATACATTGGCCATAGCTTGTTGGGAAACCCAGGCTTTGTGGTTTAAAACATAGTTTATGGCTTAGGATGATGCGTGCAATTGATTATGGCTTACCTATGGCTTGATACGATATGTGGTTTAAGTAGACAAATCAAAAGGGAAATCAGTAATATCATGTAGTCTCCCGAATGGTAAAATTCATATGACCAAAGATGAGTTTTATGAATGGTTTGTGGGGTTCCATAAAGAGTATGAGATGTTATGATTGCAAATCTGCTTGTTCACCATGAACTGGATTAGCAGTTCAGCTACGTTTACCATAGTAGTGGATGGTTGAGATGGTTGAGATCAGTGGTGGGTTCGTCCCGGTTCGGTCCGGTTCGGCCGAGCCGATAGCGGTGATGATATGACGTCAGCGAACCGGTTCTCCCCTCCCCGCCCTCCCATCCCCCCACCCCCCCACGTTATTCTGACCTTTTATTTGGTCCCACCCCCAATCTATTGCTGCCTCCTGAGTCCCAGCTGATGACTAGAGGGAAAAAAACTGTTTAAACTCTTGCCGCAGGGCTTCAAAGGGCCGTCCTACAGCTGATCAGTGTTAAAAGCAAACAAATGAGTTGGGTCGTAAGTGTGAGGACTGGTCGTAAGTGCGAGGAACTTCCAGAAATGACTCTGACCAGCTAACCACGCCCACCTAGTCACATGACCTCCAAGCCACACCCACAAAATAAGCCACACCCACAGAACCAGTAGTAAAACAATTTAGAACCCACCCCTGGTTGAGATCTATGGTTGAGATGTAATTCTCATTTATTGACTGCCTTGTACAGTGACCATTTGCAATTATGACTATGATGAAAAAGTTACTTTGTGATCAATCTTTGTATTTATGACCTTCATAAGTCTGAAAAGCAAAGGAAAGCTGAAGAAAAATCATAAGCACAGTTGCAGTTTTACCTAGCAACCATTTTGTTTAATTGACTGAGTTGCTATGTTGCTATGGTACCTAAAAAAGGAGTACCTGTAATTTTATTACAGCTTTACCAGGTTTCTATAAGGCCTGGTCAGCATTGGGGAGGCCCTTGCCAATTCTCAGAGTGGGCAGGAGTTCTGCAACTGGCAGCAAAGAAATTGACAGCGGTGTCCAGACCGGTGTTCCGATTCCTTAAAAATTAAGCCCTGCATTTGAGAGTTAGATCCTTTTTGCAAAATCCAGGTGATGGCAATTTCCTTTCAGTGTGTAAAAGTATGCATTCTCTGATTAATTATGGTTTTAAATTATCTTTGGCATGCAACTTGGGCCATAAGCATATATTTCACTGATAAAAGTTTTACACTTATATTCACATCAAAGATTAATTAAATCTGGTGGAATGTGGGTATGTGAAAATTTGTCCAGTGATTTCTGTATCATTCTATGTCATTAAAAAAATTTATCCGCATAGAAAAGACCTTTGCACCATCCCCTTTGTGACTTTTAGGTGGTTTGAGAAATTAACTTTGTGGGGGCAGGGGGGTGAAATCCCTGTTCACAAGCACAATGTTTCCAGGCACCCTGTGGGAAAATAAACAGAATCCATGCAAAAGCATCCTAACATCCTCCAAATTGCTAAAAAAGGTGGGAGGTAGTGTTGATGAACAGAAGGCTGAATGTGATGCTTCCTGTCTTTAACACAGTCCAAATATTTGCTTAGATTGAACAATGAACAATGACGTGGCTAACGATACAGCACTAGGGCCAATCTCTGTTAGTTTATGTCAACAACATATGTGAGAGCCTCAATCAAGGCCACATTCACATTATGTAGTCCTCCCATCCAGTTTCTTCTAGCAAAACCACAGTTCAACTCAAAATATACAATGGAAGCTTTCAGGGCACAAGGGCAAACTGTCTTCCCAGTGGGAGACATTCTTACCTCAAACAACCTCCACAGAGCTCCCTGCTAAATTTCAGAGACAACCTTATCAATGAAGTGGATTGTGTTCCTTTTGACATTTCTTAGCCCATTTTGCAGGCCCTGTCAAAAAAAACCCGTAAACAATAAGCATTGAACTCTTACCTCACTTACTTACTTACTTACTTACTTACTTACTTACTTACTTATTCATTCATTCATTCATTCATTCTATTTTTTTCTATTTATTCTATTGATGTATCATATTAATATGGTCATCCATCTTACAAAAATGTGGCTCTGGCAGCATACAGCTGAGCATTTGAACTCTCTTAACCTCTCATTTGCAGGTAGTTCTAAAGGCTGCACCTTGCAACCTACACCCTGAATTTCAGCCATTTGGAAAAACACCCAACCACCTGCAAAAAATTGGTGAAGAATTATATCATCAATCATGTCATCATCACCATTTAATGCAGTTTTTATTCAGCCAAAATCACATATTGATAGCCAGGGAGTTTGTTCCCAAATTCACACTGCACATACTAAAAATGGATGGCTGGGGGGGGGGGGTTGAGATGATTTTTTTTTAATCCAGTGGCTGTGAGATTGGATAATAGTTCTTGAGCTGCAAGGAGTACTGACTGAACATTGAAAACAAGTAAAAAACTTCATAAGCCAAAGTTCAGCAGGAGTAAAAGCAATTGCATGATCAACTTCAAACAATTTAAGAGGCTCTGAGGAGTAGAAACATTGCCATGTATACTGTATTTTGTTTCCTCAATAATGGTCGATGTTCTCCATGAAGACCATGGACAAACTGAGCATAATATTGTTGTATGTTTTGGTTCTGTGATCTTGTCTTCTCTTTTAGAAAGAAATGGGAATGGAGCAAGGGCAGAAGCAATAAGACCAAATAACCTCAGACAGAAAACTACGGTAGGGACCACAAAATGTATTTTAATTTCAATTTTGATGTACTTAAGGTTTAAATGCCCCACATCATTATGCTGGATAAGAATGATAAGGGGCAAATGTATTAGCAGGTGCCTACTTGAAAGAAACTATTGAAAAAAATTTAGCTCCTATCCTTTGCTAGTGTTCTAAAAAGATAAATGGTACCAAATGCTGCAGAGAGATCTAACAGGACCAGGATAGGTGCGATTATAGTTTTACTTAATCAACAAGCTTAGTCTGAATGAAAACTATTAACATAATCCCTGTACTTGGTAAATTGTAGTTATGATTCTTGGATGTTTGAATATTAAACAATAGTTACATATCTTCTTAATAGAAGACAGGTATATTATGCCATGCCAAATTCTACACCTTGTATTCTGTACAGCTCCATTGTAAATGGTTGCCTCAACACATGATACTAAGCTTTTTCTTCTCTGCATTCCTTTCCTATATGGGATGGCCTTTATAGCAATACCTCTTAGATTTATATGTACCGCTTCACAGTGCTTTACAGCCCTCTCTAAGGAGTTTACAGAGTCAGCATATTGCTCCCAACAATCTGGGTCCTCATTTTACCAACCTCAGAAGGATGGAAGGCTGAGTCAACCTTGAGCTGGTAAGGATTGAACTGCTGAACTGCCAGCAGCCGGCAGTCAGCAGAAGTAGCCTGCAGTACTGCATTCTAACCTCTGGGCCACCACGGCTCTTTATAGAAGCTTTATGACTGTAACGCTGGCATAAAATAGCACAGTGTAGACTGTATTACCTGAATACTGGAAGAGTCCTCTTCTCTAAATAAGAGCAGTAAGCTAGATTGAAGAATATAGGCATCAGTGGCAAAGTGCATTTTCCAATATATCACTGCCTGTTCTATGAAAATATCTATGGTCTGAAGCATTTCAAAGGTGCCTCATTCTATCTAATACCAGTCTTTTCTTTTCTTTTTTCTTTTCTTTTTTTTTCTTTTTTTTCTTTTTTTTTTTTGCGTTTTGCTGGATCACAAATACTCAGGAAAGATTACCAAATCCAAAACAAACCCCATTTTTTTCTATATAATCCTTACAAGACAGCCTTTAAGATTTTTTGAGATAAAAATATGATGTAGTCCAGAGGATGAGTGGTAAGATGAAATCCATTCTATATTATATAGCTTTTGCTTAATATAGCCAAAAGAATTACTCTGGGCAAAGATTCTTGCTCATCTAGTGTAACACATGGCAATCCTGTTCTTGTTGAACTAGAAAACAGGAGACTGTGAGTTCTAGTCCAGCCTTAGGCATGAAAGTCAGTTAAGTGACTTTGGACTAGTCTTTCTCTTAGACCAGCCCACCTAGCAGGAGAAGGAAAGAGTGTTAAGTATGTTTGCTACATTGAGTTACTTATAAAGTAATAAGGAAGGATAAACATCAAATCAAATAAATAAATAAGCCTCCATAAAAAACAAGTATAATAGGATCTGTATTTAGAATTGTAGTTGTAGCAAGGTTTTAGAACGTTACATTAACAGGGCAAGACTGACCTACTACGGAAATATTTTAAAATTTAAGGTGCGTAAATAAGTTCTCATATTGCCTCACTGGGTCTCGTATATTGAGCTAATAGTACACATAAATAAGAGATTGAGTGAACACAAATATTAATGTGTGCTGACCAAACTGACCTTTACCAGGAAACAAGGTCAAAGTTAGTACCTCAAAGTTAGTCCTCCCTCTGCCAACTGGCAAGATTTATTACTGCTTTCTTACCAATCAAAACTCAGCAGAAAATTAAAAATTGGACATGTTTAGCTATAAAAGCCTACTAGAACGGGCTTCCTTTTTCACACAAGACAAGAAAAAAAGCAGCTCGGAAAAACAGCATCCATCCAACAGAATAATGCTGCGGAGTTGGGAGTTTGTTCTGCTTATCTGTTGCTTTTTGTGTTTTTCCAGTGATGCCTTCCAAAGGTAAGACTATCTCTTTTTTTAATATATCACCTAGTAATTGACCAGTGCAACAACCAGATAATAACACATCAATAATATGATGCAAAAAGCAAATGAAATGTTTTTTCAAAACAGAAAAGCTTAAAACTACAGCATTGCCAATCCACTGCAAGTATCTGCTGCCATCTGGAGCAACACATTGGTATATATCAAACCAAGCCAGCTTCAGGCTGCTTGTCAAGCTAGTTGCAAGAAAGCTGGTATACAAATCAGGGTAGCCACAACTATACATCCCATTAATCTGACTGTGGGAAGGAGGGTGGAGAGGTTACACCAGACTAGAAACGTTTAATTGGTGAGAAGGCTATTATAGAAAAGCAGGCAAAAGAGAGAAAACAGGATTCCATCTGGGTAACAGCAACATTCCTCAGCCAAAACCTTGATAGGCATATAACTCTCTGTATTCATTTGCTCTACTCACCTTTGGAATAGACTTTGTTGAGCAGTTCTATCTACCTGTCTGCTTTTCAAATCCTAGCAACAACTGCTTTGGGAATGCAGTTGGATTTCACCAAGCCATGAATTAAATTAGGGCTACTTTGGACAGATAAATAAGAAACCTAAATTGAATTAACTCCTCCAAAAGCTCATTAGTAGCTCAGAATCTAGACATACATAATTTTTCCCGATATTGCTACCTTTCTCCCCAATGTCTCTCTGCAAAAAGAAAATGTCAAGGTGGGTAGACACCAAGGAAGGAAAGAAGAAAACATATTTTGATAACTGGGAGCTTTAACTGCTAAGTACACCCAGTGGTTTTATCATGGATTCAGTCACTGTGCTCTGAAGAGGGTTGAAGTTATTCAGTGCAGGATTATGCTGAGGTTCTCTATTTTTTGCCACTTCTCTCTACCAGAAAGTCAGTGGTGGGTTGCCCCCTGTTCGGACTGGTTCTATAGAACCGGTAGTAAAACCAGCGGGAGGCTCCGCCCACCAACCCCGCGGCCCCATTGCGAACCTGTAGTAAAGGCAAGTAGAACCCACCCCTGCAGAAAGTGCCCCCTGAAAAAAGAAGTTCGGGTGGAATTTGTGGGTCCTGGAAAGATGTATTGTTGAAAATGAGAGGTCCTTGATGCTCTCTGAGCTTAGTTGTTTTCTTGCAGATGTTTCATTACTCAAGCTAGGTAACACCATCAGTGTTGCATGAGCACAGCATGAGGACCGATGATGTTACCTAGTTTAGGTAATGAAATGTCTGCAAGAAAACCACCAAACTCAGCAAGTATCAAGGACCTCTCATTTCACTCCTGAGCTACAAATATTCTCCTTTATAGGTATTGTTGAAAATGCCAAATGTTTCATTCCTTCCATTCCTATGTTTTGGTTTACATCTACCTTCCTCTCTTTTGTCCAAATATACTTTCTATGCCTGTGGTATCATAGAAAGAATATTCTATTTTTTCATTCCTCAACACCATGATCAGGCAGTTCTGGCAGTTCAATATTTTGGATTCAGTCTCCCAAAAAAGCTTCAGAAGTAGCATTCACCTACCATACCATTCTTTCCTAGCATTGTATGTTTGCCATCAGGTAGCATTCTAAAATAGAGCTTTGTCACTTCCTAATTATTTATTAAAACACATCATCATATGCCGAACACTTTCTCTATTGGTCACACTAGTAACTTGGCAATTGTGTCTGTTGACCTTCACATCTATTGCAAATGTGACTGTATCTGATTCACCTTCCAGTTTTACCATGGTCTTTTTTTCTACCTGTCAGAATTTCACTCAAAAAAATGCCCTCAATCCGAGAAACACTGCAAGGGATGGGCATGAAAGTGGCAGATGTTCTTCCTTCTTTGAAGCACCATATCTACTACCTTGGTGAAGAGCTTCATAACAAAACAGCACCTACCATTCTAACAAACTTCTTGGATGTAAGTGTGTCATATGTTCTTAAAGAAAGCAGTCAGCAAATAAAGACTAGTCAAACATTTTATACAGATATTGATGGAATGAATTATGATTTTTTTTCCTCTAACAAAAATGTTGTTCTGCTCTTTGTTATGATGTGCCTTTCAGTTGCAGTATTATGGTGAAATAAGTATTGGAACCCCAGCCCAGATCTTCAAGGTTGTCTTTGACACAGGGTCAGCTAATCTTTGGGTACCATCCCACCAATGCCCTCCATTGTTCAGTGCCTGTGGTAAGTTTTGGAAACATGTAACAACAGCATATGAAGTTTCTCCCCTGACATGTTTTTCCATTATGCATGTGGAACAATGTTATACAACTGGTATTTTTATTCCTGTCACAGTACACTGATATCCTAAAATAGATTTTTCTTATCATTTACACATAAGATACTTGGGACAATTACCAATTTGCAGCCATGAGTGGTAGCGTATGCTAAATTAATGATGGATTATGAATAATAAGTGTCCTGATATTTTAGTGTATTAAAAAAAATTAGAAAAATAATTTAAAAGATAGCACTGCATATTACACATGATTTTGGATGTTAATATTAATATAGAAAAAATGAGTACTAAATCATTAATATAATTAAATTCACAATATCTAGTGCTTTAATGCTTGATGTCTCCTCCTGTTTTGTCCACAACATTAACCCTGTTAGGGTGTTGGGTTGAGAGAGCGATTGGCTCAATCTGACTTTCATGCTTAAGGCAGGACTATCACCTCTCAGCCCCTTAACCACTACACTAAATTATATTGCAAACAATATAGTATATGCTACACAACACAGAGCACTGAATTCAAAGAAAGAAAGAATCTTACACTTAGCTTGAATAAAATATTCCCTAAGCAATCAAGTCAGCTGGTCATTGATTAATCTACCCAGCTGGTCAAAAAGTGAGACAATCAATCAATCAATTTATTATTACAGTCTTAGACCAGAAACAAATAAAACCACTCAGTATATATACACTTAAGAATTCTAGTATAAAATAATAAATGACAACTACATCTATAATAAAATCCAGTGTCCATTATACATGGTCCATTATATATTTTATCTTCCCCTCCTTTCCCTCCTTTGTTCATCTTTTCCCTCCTTTCCCTCCTTTGTTCATCTTTGTTTTCCATGTACTTCCATGGGAAATAAAACTTGATTTTGGAGATCTGTCTAGAGAATTGTTCTCCTCAGAACAATGATAGCAAAGCAATCACCATGGAACTTCTGCAATGGGTCAAGGGAAGTTTGGTTCCTATGAAAACACCTTGTGTGAAGAGTGAGACTCTATTTCTCCATCCTCAGGGCTTTTCCATACAGCTCCAATGATGCATTTTCTTCTGTCCTTGAGATGGAAAGAAAATACATTTTCAGAAAACCAATGTCTCCAGGGCCTACCTTTAGTATATCTCAGGCTAGTAAGTAGAAATACAGTTAGCTTCTGCTGCTGTTATTGAAATCCATAGCAAGCCTTTCCAGGAAACCATTGAACTTCTTTCAGATGTGTTGGAGAAAACAATCCTTTTTAGTTTCACATTGTGAATGATGTTAAAAACTTGCAGTTCTCCTGCCCCATTATAAACTAGGGCAGCAACTCCTCAAACTCCTCCTAACCCTCTGCCCCATTTTTCCTATTCACTAATATCCCTTCTCTCACTTCTAATTACCCCTTTCTGCCAGATTTGCCCTCCTTGCAACAGTGGAGTTAACAATTTGTAATGAAGCCCAACAATGTTGTGGGTCAGTGATTTAGCTTGGGCCCCGCAAGCAAGCACAGATTCCCTGGTGCTCAGGGTTCCCAATTTGCAGCCTCCATGCCTGCACTGTTTCTGCCTGCATTGCATTCTAATTGTTTACAATATTTGATCTACGGCTGCAGGTCTGGTGAGCAGGAGAATCTTCCCATTACTGGTGGCTTGACACAGAAACTCAGGGCTGGGCTGGTTAAGCTTAGTTCTGGTCTAAAAATATAAGCAAAAGTCTGGATAGCTCCCCAGAAGTTGGGAAGGTCCTCCATGAAGTCATAGAATTTCATAGAATAACAGAGTTGGGAGGGACCTTGGAGATCTTCTAGTCCAACCACCTGCTTGAGCAGGAGACCCTATATTATTTCAGACAAATGGCTGTCCAATCTCTTATTGAAAGCCTCCAGTGATGGAGCATCCACATTTTCTGAAGGCAAGAGATTCCATTGTTGATTGCTCTAACCGTTTGGAAATTTGTCCTTAGTTATAGGTTCCTTCTCTCCTTGGTTAGTTAGTTTCTATCCATTGTTTCTTGTCTTGCTTCTGGTGTTTTGATAAATAGTTTGACCCCCTTGTCGCTGTAGGAGTCCCTCAAATATTGGAACACTGCTATCATGTTTCCCCTAGCCCTTGGTCATATGAGCAAAGCAAAATAAGTTGTAAGGGGAGTTCTCAGGCAGTCAAAGCAGAAATGGCCATAAAGACACAGAGAGCTCCAGCTGGAATGGATTAGATACAGAGGTGGTATTCAGCAGGTTCTGACCTGTTCTGGAGAACTGGTAGTGGAAATTTTGAGTTGTTCAGAGAACCAGTAAATACCACCTCTGACTGGCCCTGCCCCCATCTATTCTCTGCCTCCCGAGTCCCAGTTGATTGGGAGGAAATGGGGATTTTACAGTATCCTTCCCCTGCTATGCCCACCAAGCCACGCCCACCAGGCCATGTCACGCACACCAAGCCACTCCCACAGAGCTGGTAGTAAAAAAAATTGAATCCCACCACTGATTAGATAGGCCCACAGTGGGCCAGTTGGAACCCAGCAGGTCACCAATCCTACAAAGACAAGAGTTTCATGACATGTGAGAGAATTTCCTTTGGAATTTCCATGGAAAACCTCACTTTTCTACCACAATGTCTTGATGTACTTTCACTCTGCCTCAGCACTGGGTTGGAGAGTGGCTCCACCATGAGGATATGCTCTCTCCACAAGATATGTGGGGCATCTTCACACCTGGTACAAAGATGTGTGGGTAAGCCTACAAAGGGAAGGATCCCATTTTCAATGGCCATCCAGTGGAACACTGTTCAATAAAGATGTATAAGATTGTTTGAACATTAGCTGTGAGAGATTGTGAGAGACAGGCAGAGGCATATTTAGTTGGTGTGAAGAGAGGCAGCACAGTCCAATATTTTTTTGAGAGAGGAGGGAGGGGAAGCTACAGGGAAGAAATGTTTGAGAAGGACTTTAACTTAATTGCATTATGCTTGCCTGGAGATTTACTGTTATGTGTTTACCCCTGACTAGCATTTAAATACTGTACAGTGTGACTTTCTGAAATCTGTATGATTCTTACTTCTTGAATATACCAGCTGTATGAGGTTGACATTTAAGGCACTTGTTCCTGATGATGCCTGAACAGTCTCAAACCAACTAATGTTCTATATATTAATATTCTTTCTTTCTTTCAGTCTCACACAATCGTTACGATTCCTCTGAATCAAGTACATACAAGCCAAATGGAACCGAAATTGTCTTATCATATGCCCAAGGATATATTAAGGGTTTCCTTAGCCAGGACATTGTCAGAGTAAGTGCTAATAGGATGATAAGCATTTGTGCTTCTGAAGGAAGGAAACGGAGGAAGTGCTTTCCTGTTGTCTGGCAAATGCCAGGTTATTCACAGGCCTTGAAAACTGAACCAGAGGGCTACAAACAAGGAGAATCTCAATTTTTTGTATTGTGGCACTTTAACCACATTCATCCCATTTGCCCTGTCCAAGATTTGAGGGATATCAGACTTACCTTTTTTATCATTGAAAAGAAATCACTGGAAGCTTTATAATAATTATTCTTTTTTTGGGGGGGAAGGAACACACAGGTTGAGTGCCTTGTTCTCACAGTAAATATCTAAAGAGATATATATTATATGTCTTAGAATATCCAGTTAGTTATAGCATCAGGCTGTAATAGAGCGGGGGCTCAAGCTATAGTAATGCAAAAGGAGAAAATCATATAAGCAGCAACCCATTAACATTTACTCACCTAATGCCAAGTGAGCATGTATAAAAATGCAGTTTTAATAAAACATGGCACTAAAGGACAACATAACAGGTCCCTTAGTCACTTGAACAATTACTGGGATTGAAGCAAAAATGACTTAACTATACATAAAAGTATATGTGGGTGTGTATGAGTGAGGTGGGGAAGAAAGATAAAGGAAGAATTAAAGAATTAAGGGTTATTTTTATTCCCTGTGAAGAATGCATTCAACTTATTGCTCCACAGTTCCTTTGTGCGTGCTTTTTCTCTAGGTTGCTGATATTCCTATCATCCAACTCTTTGCAGAAGCTAGAACACTACCTAGCTATCCTTTCATCTATGCTCGGTTTGATGGAGTGCTTGGTATGGGATACCCCAGCCAAGCCATTGATGGGGTTATCCCAGTTTTTGATAAGATAATATCCGAAAAGGTCTTGTCAGAAAAGGTCTTCTCTGTCTACTATAGCAGGTAGGTTTTGTTTAGGAATATAAAACCCATACTTCAAATTATTGGATCAATTCATAATTTGATTGTCCTTTGGATTCATTGTCAGAGAGTGGTTATTTTTTTCAGAAAATGTGCTATCCATAGATATGCTTGATATTTTTTTAAAGCCATTTGGGTGTGTCCCCTTAACTTGTCCCAAAGTTCACTAATATTTGATCCTAGAATGTTGGCTAAACATCAGTGTCTGAAGCTTCTTTTAGAATTTGGATGGGGGCTCAGAGAGGTCTTGGCTATCGCCAGAGAATACGACTGATTTGCAATATGGAATACCTTTTCAAGATTAGAGTTTAGCATATGAGCAAGCAGCATAGGAGCAAGCAGAAATAACACTGACAATGTTGGATATTTTGAAGTGTTTCCCCTAGCTTGCCATAAAGATGCCAGTAAACATTTCACTATGTAGAAAATAGACCCAAGCAAGGAAAAGTCTAATACTGTCTATCAAGGGGAAATTTATACCTGAAATCATGATTGGTGGAGTGTTTTGCAGCAGGCATCATCTCTGTACTTGGTTCCTACCCCCATCCCCACAAATCTCTTTTGTATCTTTTGAAATTGTGAATCACAGGTAATTTCAATAAATTCTATCTCATCAGCAACATGACTTTTGCTCTAAGCTTGAGTATTTTTGTTAGACATTGCCTTAAAAGCAAATTGGCTGTCCTTTATAGGCTTTTAACAACAAAGCTTGCTAAACCTTGTTGCACACAAAAGTGAGCAAGAATAAAATTACTGTTTTGTGAATTTTTTTCCCCCTTTGACCTAGACACTCAGAGTTGAACACTGGAGGAGAGATTATCCTGGGTGGCAGTGATCCCTCTTACTACACTGGAGACTTCCACTATGTCGATATTAGCAGAGAAGGCTACTGGCACGTTGATCTTAAGGGGTAGGTTCTGTGTAATGCCAGACTTATAAAATCAAGAACCCAAAGGGGGAAGTCATTTGAGTCAACTAAAGATATGAAACATTAATTGCATTTTGGAAATCAGCTTTTCCCAAGATGACCGTCTTTTATGAAATGCTAACAAATTCCTCTTACAAACTACAGGTGGTCCTTGACTTATAACAGTTCACTTAATGACTGTTCAAAGTTACAATGGCACTGAAAAAAGTGACTTATGACCATTTTTCACACTTATGACCATTGCAGCATCCCCAGGGTCATGTGGTTTACATTAGGATGCTTGACAACTGACTCACATTTATGACAACCGGGGTCATGTGATCCACTTTTGCAACCTTTTGATAGGCAAAGTCAATGGGGAAGCCAGATTCACTTAACAACCATGTTACTAATTTAACAACTGCAATGATTCACTTAACAAATGTGGCAAGAAAAGTCGTAAAATGGGACAAAACTCACTTAACAAATTTCTCACTTAGCAACATAAATTTTGGGCTCAACTGTGGTCATAAGTTGAGGACTACCTGTATTGCGATATGCAGATCTGAGGAGTTCAAGACCTTGAATGACAATGTTGTTTTGTTTCTTATTTTGATATACATGAGGCTTATTCTTCAAAAGTACAGGAATGTCTGAATGCTCTTTTGCTTTCTCTGCAGTGTTTCTATAGAAAATGATATAGTGTTTTGTCATGAAGGATGCACAGCAGCTATAGATACCGGCACTTCGCTTATTAGTGGGCCAGCCAGTGCGGTATCTATTCTGATGAAAACCATAGGAGCTACTTTGGTAGAAGAAGAAAAGGTAAGACATCTGAGCATAACTTTCTAAAAGTTGGTCCTCTTTTCTAATCATGGGAAAACATTAATCTAAAAAACAGCAATGAGATATGAAACACATTTGATTTCTGGTCCCTTTCATGTATTGTCCAGGTTCCCTACTGTTTAAAATTTCAAGTGTCCAACTTTAGCACATTTCCCTCTTTGAAAAAAGAAAAAAAAACTACTTCAAAAGTGTATAGTCTAAGTAGTTTAAACTGCAAGGTTGCTTAAGAGAAATCTAGATTAAATCTGGATAAGGAGGAGAGACTCCCATTGGAATTGGAAAAATTACTGTTAGATGGTTCCCCACCTTGATATCTTCTCTATAGTGATGCATTATCAGCTGGGAAAAGCAGACATAAGACCTTTTCCTATTACCTGAAGCACTGTGACTTATAACATAGGAATTAAAAGCCTTTCTATCTTCTGTTTCCTTTATCCTCTCACAGTATGTCGTTGAATGTAAAAACATTCATTTGCTGCCTGACATTTCCTTCCATCTTGGTGATATGACCTACTCACTCAGCAGTTCTACCTATGTTCTCAAGGTAAGATCTGGAGCCATGATTTGCAATAAAAGGAACAAATATGGGCGAGCAACAAGGTTTAGATAAAACTTGGAAAGTCAAAGTCCTGAGAAAATAAATTTGGGAGGGACTTTTGAGAGCTAGTGATGAAATCAAAGGTCTGACAGTGAGTAAATTGGGAAGCGGTTCATGATGTTACATTATTAGGCATTACTCAGGGCATGTTGCTGATTTACTTCCTTTTGTTTGGATTGCTTTCTCTGCAGCATTCAACATATGGGGACGACCTCTGCGTTGTGGCATTCTCGGCTTTTGACATTCCTCCTCCTTTAGGCCCTCTCTGGCTTCTCGGCGCAACTTTTATTAAACAGTACTACATTGAATTTGACCGGCAGAACAATCAGATTGGCTTTGCTACCTCGCTCTGATAGCAGAAAAGTCCCATTTTGGAACATGTTCCCTTTTGAGAGAATATAGCTTGATAACAGATTCTATTATACAATAAACAGTTAGCTGTAGCATTTTGTATCCCACAATTTCTTTCTTAAAATCAAATTAAATGAGACAGAAAACTACAAAAGACCTTCAGTTTATTTTTCATTTAAACTTATCTCTGCTTAGCTTCATCTGTTGGATGAATCATTTTGCAATGTCACCATGCCTTGGATTAGTATCAAACCAACTTTCAAATGTTAGCTATGTATGAAGAAGATGGTTTAGGATACAGACAACTTGCCTGTGATGCAGTGGTGGGTTTCAAAATTTTTTACTACCGGTTCTGTGGGTGTGGCTTGGTGGGAGTGGCATGGCTTAGTGGGCATGACAGGGGAAGGATACTGTAAAATCTGCATTCCCTCCCCAATCCAGGAGAAGGTTACTGCAAAATCCATATTTCCTCCTGATCAGCTGGGACTTGGGAGGCAGAGAATAGATGGGGGCGGGGCCAGTCAGAATTTTTACTACCGGTTCTCCAAACTACTCAAAATTTTTGCTGTAGGTTCTCCAGAACTGGTCAGAACCTGCTGAAATCCACTTCTGCTGTGATGTCTTCAATGTCTTAGAAGTGTCATGCAGGGACTCCAGAGTGCAACTTCATCCTCCTACTGAGGAGAACTAAAATCTGTTGGTTCAGCCTATATTCTGATCCCAACATTAAATGGACTTTTCCCCCACTTTATGACCTTTTTCTTCAGAAAGATAATATTACAGGACAAGAAAAAGGTATTGCAACGCATTAAATGTGACATAATTGTTACATGTATATAAACTAATCAATGACAGATTTTGCAGCATGAAGCAGAAAAATAAAAAGTGGCTTTCACAATAATTCTATATGAGCGGCACAGTGGTTGGAATGCAGTACTGCAGGCTACTTCTGCTGACTGCCAGCAGTTCGGCAGTTTGATCCTCACTGGCTCAAGGTTGACTCAGCCTTCCATCCTTCCGAGATCAGTAAAATGAGGACCCAGATTGTTGGAGGTAATATGCTGACTCTGTAAACTCCTTAGAGAGGGTTGTAAAGCACTGTGAAGTGGTATATAAGTCTAAGTGCAATTGCAAGTGAAATTATTCTTCAAGATACTACAATTTTTCACTGTTTTTTATTACAGATTGAAAAAGCCATTACTCTGAAAATTGAAATGTTTTCTACTAGATCTAGGCTGGGTCATTTCTATATAAGTAAAAAAGGGCATACAGATTTGCATAATGTGTGCGTGTGCACTTTCTGTCTCTCAGGAATGAGCAGCAATCTGGATTCAAAGGGGGAAATGTGATTCAGTGAACATATGAATACACGCTTAACACTTGATAGGAATCTCTTAAAGCAGCTATGCCTTCTCCTGGGACCAAAAATGGTCACACAATCCTGGAACAAGATGAGTTTAGTTTAAGGTGTTCTCAACAGGTGCTACATGTGTACCCATATGCTCTCAGAATGACATTTTACTTTTCATATCCATATATATATATGAGAGAGACAGACTTACATATACAGTATTTATGAACAGTTCCTAACAATTTCCACTCTCTTTAATTTTGTGGTTATCTTTAATTTGGACTTTGATACCCTCAAATGAAAGACTGTCTTCTGTAAACTATAATATGCTGTCACATGATGTTCCAACATGTATCAGTCCTTTTTATCTCAAACTTTATTTTAATGTTTTTTTTAATTTAATAAAGATTATCTATCTATAAAAAAAGAAACAGAAGGCTTGTGTGAATATCTTTTACCTTTGTTTCTTGGCTGTTTTACGCTGAATATGCCTCATTCCACTTTCCTTGCCTTGTGGAGGAAAAGTTTCCAGTATTTTTATATTTAAATTTAACTTTCCTCTCAGTGATAGGGAACTTCAGCCTTGGAATCTTATACTGTCCTTTTACAATTAGAAATGTCCCCAAACCCCTGACAGAAGATACACGATCAGCACAGATTTAATCACATTCACAAGGCCTCCTGGAATCACCATTTTGCTATTATAGTGGAAAGTTGGTAATGTTCAAATTAATATTGGCTACTATTTGGCAGACCACAAATTCTGCAATGACCATCAAACAAAATCAGTTTCCAGATTTAAAGGAATTCCTTCCATCTTTCTGAGAGGAAAAGCTGCCTCTCTTGTTCCCTGGAATAAAAGTTTAATTATTTAGTAAAAGAAGTATAGAATGGCTTTTCCAACAATTCTTGTTCATATTCCCATCCAAGAATATCTTAGATATTATTCTATATAATTAATCACTAAGTCTAATTACACTTCCATGCACATACTTGCCTTTAAATCAGGGCTGTCAAACTCGCAGCCTGCGGGTCAGATGCGTCACGTGCTGGCCACACCCATGCCCAGTTTAGCGATGGAGAAAAAAGTCACTATACGTCATGTGATGATGCAAGTTTGACACTCCTGCCTTAAATAATGATGATCTTGGGGTAGAGGGGTTTAGCTGGCTTTGACCAAGATGGATTTGAGTCCAAACCAACAAACCAGATTTGACAACCCCAAATAGGTGAGATCTAATTCTCCAAAATTAAACCACTGCTGAGTATTTCTATCACCTAAAGCATCCATTATCACCTCTACCAATAAGTGACAGGACAATTTCCTGTCTGCCAATGTGTATGACATAAAGATGATTTTGGAAGGAAGCCACTAGTGACCTGCAACCAGGAGATATTAGCAATTCACACTATTCCCAACAAAGCAATTAAGCAAACTGAGCCCCACAAAGAAAATAAGACAATTATAGCAGTTCTAATTAAAGTAATTAGACTCATTCCCTTTTAAAAAGGGAGGGGGGAAATCACTCCCTTCAGCTTGATGATACTTATTCAATTAATTGAGTTTGAGTTAGTTAGCTGAATATTTAAGGGAAGGAGATTTTTTTTCTCCCCTGTAGAAAATCATATGCTGTTCTTTGAGTAAAATTAACTTCGAAGTATATTATTTTTTGAGAATATGTTAACATTTTTGTTACTAAAGATTTAGTGGTTACAATATACTGAATCTTGTTCCCACAAAAAACTTTTGAGGAGAGCCAGCTTCTTGCCATTTCCACTTCAAATGCAGGTAATGTTCACACATATTTCTCTACAAACAAGCAAGATCACCATTATATGGAAAATTAACATGCTGGACAGAGAGGAGGATTTTAATGAAGATGGCTATTGATAGATCATCAAAATAAAAAGGACAACCAAAATACAGAATGAAAAAGGAATGGAGATCTGGGTATGATAATATACACAGACACATTCTGGCATAATTGTTATTTGAATAAATGTATAACGGAATTCATTATGGCCAGAAAGACTAACATGATGGCCAGCTTTGAAACTGAGTGTTTATGGCAACTTCAGAACTTTTACACTTATTAGATTTATTTTTAAACCAGATGTGAACTTGAATAACCATTTGCAGAGTAAGTAAGGCATCCAATTCAATACTGTAATTAGACCATGGGTGTCAAACTTGCAGCATCATGTTGCCATCACGTGATGTTTTGTGATGCTTTTCCCCTTCATGGGGTGGGCGTGGCCTGCGCATGTTTCATCTGGCCTGCAGGCCGCCAGTTTGACACTCCTGATCTAGACCCAGGTGTCTTTAATAGGTCACTTTAATAGGTTTCTTTAATAGGTTGCTTGTTGGAATTTTTAATATGTCTGTTTTCTATGGTCATAGATTCAGTCATGGGAAGTTTTCCTGCTTACTCCTCCATACAGAACAAGAGACACAAGTTAAGCACAACTTCTGTAAAGCACAACTTCCATTGTTTCTGAAAACTACTAGGTTTCAATCCATTGAAAATGGGAGGTTTCAAAATACTGAGCTGTTTCAGTTGCAATATATAATTGAAAACACGGACTATCAAATGACAGGACCATGTGCTATTACATTACTGTCTGCATAGCTTTTAATCATAGGTCACTACCATTAGGATACTTTTTACCACTCCAAAATAATTTCCTGATTTATGTAATTCCACGTATTGTTTACATTCAGCAGCTAAAATTGTTTCTATTTTTTGCAAAAAGAAAAAGAGTGACATCTCAGTTTTCCACTAATGAGGCTTTGTAAAACTATGAATCATCTCCTTTCCCACTGACAAGAAATCTTGCCTTATTGTGTCTCCCCCAAATTCAGCTTAAGTAGCATTTTATCTACAGGTCTTTTAAGGGAAAAGATGGTTCAGAAGCCATTCGTATTTGTTATGTCCCACAAATATACACCATCCAAGTAATTCTACTTCAAAATAGAGCTAGAATTGATCTGGGGTGTTTAGACTGGGGTCTCCAACCTTGGCAACTTTAAACCTGGAGGACTTCAACTCCCAGAATTCTGGGAGTTTAAGTCCACCAGGCTTAAAGTTGCCAAGGTTGGAGACCCCTGGTTTAGACTGTAAATCTTGCAATTGTCTTCACTCATATTGTAACCCAACAAAGCAACAGAGCTAGAACAAAGCTGACTAGATTTATCTCTGGTCCCCTCTTCTCTGTAACTACTTATGGATGAAATGTTGGAATACTAGCAATTTTTCTTTTTTGTGTAGGAGGAGTGGGCTTGACAGAATTGTTTTTTGTGGCTCCAGGACTTGTGTCCCCTTTCCCTTCATGAAGAACAAATGCAATAGAGGTAGTCCTTGATTTATGACCATTTGTTTAATGACTGAATTACAATAGTATTGAAAAAAGTGATTTAAGACTAATCCTCACACTTATGACTGTTGCAGCCTCCCGTGGCTAAAATTCAGGCGCTTGGCAATTGGCGTATATTTACAAAAGTTGCAATGACCTGGGCTCATATGATCACCACTTATGACTTTTCCAGGGGGCTCCAGATCTCCAAGCTCAGCATAGAGGGAAAAACCTGGTTTGAAGGTTCCTGCTTCCTACTGTCCTATGAATGACTGTGGAAGACAAAGTCCAGGGAGAAAGGGGCGAGAGAGGCATGCTTGCATTAGCTAAAAGTGAGCAACTGTTACCAGGCTATTTCCATTCTAATTGTTCTATCAACAAAATGTTCAGTGAAGCATATCAGATTGTATCCATGGCAGAACCTGTGTCACATTTTTAACCACTGATACAGTTAAGGAACAATTTTAAGTTTAGGTATGGGAGGAGGAGGGAGGAGGAGGAAGAAGAAAATGCTGTGCTGCAGTTAGGATCAGGTGTGAAAAGGATCTTAGTTGGAGACATTAACCGTTTCATAATATTTATTTGAATCAGGACTGGGAATTCCTCTCACCAAGCTTGAAGATACTTTGTCTTTAATTGCCTGATAGCTAAAAATTAGTCTGATAATCTCCACCTGCACCTACACACCGTTGAAATCCCTGTTGAATTCTGGCTTCTGTCACAAACCAACTTATTAGCTGCCTGCCGCTTAAGAATAGTTCTGTTGAAAAGTTCCTCACCTGGTATTCCAATCCATGGCTCGATGACTATTCACCGAACTCAATTCCCTGAATTCGCCTAATTCCCTGAATCCTAACACCTAAAGCAGGATTCGCGTCTCAAGCGAGGCTATGAGGCGTTGGGCGCTTGTTTGTGGCTCAGAGCAAGCAGCCCGCCGCGAACACAAGCCAACGTGTGCAGCGGCGCTTACCTCCGAGCAAACAAAGACCGAAAAGACTCGCAGCACAAAAAGCGCGGGATCCGGGCGGTGGACACTTGTTCTCTCGTCAGTAATTAATCCTCGCAGCTCTTTTCCCAACCCCCCCCCCCCCACCCCACCCGGCGTCTTAGATCCAGAAACTCCCGAGAGCCGAGCTTGGCGTGCGCCGCTATTGCTTAGAAGCGCCAATCGTGGCGTCCGCTAACAAGAGCGCCGGGAACATCAGCTTCCTGGCGGGAAGATGCTCAGCCGGCGACCGCATCCTTCTCCTCCTCCTCCTCTTCCTCCGCGCCTGGCTAGCGTTCCGCCACTTGCCCTCCAAGAGGAGGGCTGCTTCTTGGAAGGGGAGGGGGCTGCTGTGGTCTGGCGGCGAACGATATTCCTCCCTCTGACATCACAATCTGGGCAGCCTGGATGTTCCAATAAGAAATGCTTGCTGGGGGTGCGGTGGGAGGAGGAGGAGGAGGTGGTGGTGGTGGCGGCGGCGGCGGAGTGACTCATGGATTCCTCTCGGGGCTGGCTCCTCCCCTCCCAGCCCCTTCCCATCTCCTCCACATGGGCTACCTCGCAAGTCTCCCGTTGCTGAGGGGGGTGGAGTTGCTGGGTGGGAAAGGCTGCTCTTCCGTTTCCCTAACTCTGCCTTGCACCTGAAGCCCAGCCGCGTGGTGGTTGAGCTGCCGATGGGGCATGGAGGGAGCGGAGGAGGAGGAGGAGGAGAGCGCGCGCGTCTTCTCAGCCGTCCGGCGCGTCAGCATTGCAGTGGATGAGACTAACGTCCTGCCGGGGGCTCTGCAGCTGATCCGAACGCTCAGACCACAATGGGAGACGGAGCGAGTTAAAACCAAGGTACAAAGGCAGAGAGAGAGAGAGAGTTCGCTCGCAGCCGGCGGCCAAAAACGCACTGCTGTGGGGCGAGATTGCTCGGCATCTTCTTGCCAAGGATACCGATGGCATTAAAGGAGGAACAACGGCGAGGGGCGTTGGGGGCGGGAATGGTATGCAGGAAGTGCAATTCACCTCTTAGGTGGGTTTTTTCTTTTTCTTGTTAAGGAACATTCAACAGGTCGAGGTTGGGTTTGGTAGTGCGAGCCTTTCCCTATTAAAATGGACCAGGCAGCACCTTAGCTCTTTCCTTTAAGCTTTAGCTGCACATCTTCCACAGGAACGCAGTGATTTGAGTCACCCATTGGATTCTCTGATCACTTCTTATAAAAGTGATCCAAAATTGGATCTTTTCCACCCTTTCTGTACATGGATGTGGGTTTGAATCTTCGACCATAGTTGACATGCAGAGAGAGGTCCTTCAGGCATAGATTATGATCAGGACTCTGTTCTGAATGTTTAGTGGATGAGACACCCACTTTGTTCTTTATGATCGTTAAACACCAGCTGAATGCTATTTCCCCACAAAACCACCTGATGGTTAGAAGGAATTTTTAAGTGGATAGATTTCCCCTCCCAGTTCTTTGTAGTCTAGTCTTGTTTAAGCATCAGGTGTGATTGCAGGCATATTGTCTTTAGTTTGGAGAGAGGGATTTGATAGTCACTGCCTCCTATAATTTATATTTTTGTGACTCCGTGGTCATATCTGTAAAATAGAAATAGAATGAACATTCCTCTTACTCAGAAATAGCATGAACATCAGCTGTTCCAATGTTGGCCACCATCAATTTTTCCATTCTGTGATGTTGAATCCCTTATAAAGCATGTACGTAAGTAAACCAATCTATGTTGGTTTACTAGTACCGTACTGTTTTTACAGCAAACTCAGAATAACAAGCCACTCATGACTTTAGCAATTCATGGAATAAGGAGTGCATTTCTGTGCTACACCCTATTTTTTTTTTTCTCCCACCTTTTTGCACTTCAGTGCAGGTAAAGCACTTAGCCAAGATTGCAGGAAATTGCCCTGTAGCCATGCCCGCTGATCTCTTTTGAGACTCTTAAAAGGAAAAATCTATAAATCGCACAGTTCTTGGAAGAATCTCATTTTAATTCAGATTTATACTTATATGGAAGAAATTGTAGAAAACATCGCACAGAGATCCGTGTGCTGGTTCTTTATAGCTGCCTTTTCCATGATACAACCAATTCATATCTACAAAAGTTTATTTTATCATCTCTGTTTATATAGTACTTGTGCTCTTTGGAATAAATGAGATCTTATGTTAAATACAATACACAGAGTCCCTGACTCAAAGCATATAATGACACAGTTTCACAAGATTGCAACTTTGTGCATATACTCATAGTTTTAAGTAGTTTTACATGTTGGGCACATGGATAGCTATGCTGAATAATCTATAATTAAGAAAAACACATTTGATTTACTTTTTTTATTTTATTTTATTTGATTTATATGCCGCCCTTCTCCGGAGACTCAGGGTGGTATACAATGCGTTAAACCTGGATTATAGAACTATCCTCACTTTTAAGTAGCTATGGGCAAGGTCAGTTTGGAAATCAATTGAGATATTTTTCTCCATATTGAAGACCCATTTTTTTCCCTACACCCATTTCCAAGAATGTGACTGGGTTCAAAGCAAGGCTCTTCTCCAGCCCCTTCTGTGAGCCCCAGATACCTCCTCTACCACCATGAGCTTTTGAAAAGGCCAAACCAACCATTGCCTTACATGGGTGGCTTGTCAGGCAGCAGATATGGATGTGCAGCAGATGATGGGTGATTTATTATTTCAGTGTTTTATACTGCCAAAAAAGGTGAGGGATGCTTTAGAGACATGCATACTATAAGCAACACCTTAATTAGGGGTTGAAGAATGATGGGCTTCTACTACAGTGAGCAATATACTTGGGCCTGCTGAAGTTCAGGTATATGTCTTTGTCTTCTTCTTCTCCTTCTTCTCCTTCTTCTTCTTCTCCTTCTTCTTCTTCTTCTTCTTCTTCTTCTTCTTCTTCTTCTTTCTTCTTCTTCTTCTCCTCTTCTTCTTCTTCTCCTCCTCCTCCTCCTCCTCCTCCTCCTCCTCCTCCTCCTCCTCCTCCTCCTCCTCCTGGCATTTGGTAATAAACAAGTGTAGCTGAAGGTCTCTGGGAAGCTTCCATTTCACTAAGTCCCTGGAGTCTGAGCAGCTATGTTGCTGTATTCAGAATGCCATTGAGGAAGGCAGATGCGGACTTAGACCTTTGGGGAAAGCTCACTTCGTTGTGATAAAGTGAAAATAAACCCTTTCCTGGTGTCATGCAGAGAATTCTACTGGTTCTATTTTTTTTCTACCGGTTCTAATTCAGTATGAAGAAGAGATGTTTGCTTTCATCATTTCTTTTAGAACAAGAAATAACATTAATCATGTTCTTATGAATAAAATAAAATATGCTACTCTTGCATTTGTTTAGTTAGGAGGTGGGCAGTGTGAACTGTCCAATCTATCATTTTTTTGCTTATCTCTTTGGTCTTCAGCCACTCTGGCTTTCTGTGCTGCAGATCCCCAAGGAACACATCATCAACCCATGGAGACCATTTTCATATTGGGAAGTGTAGTGGCAGCCAGGGATGCTTTGAGTGATTGAATGAAGTGAAGCATAAACCATCCTCCACCACTACAATAAAATAAACTTAGAAACATTTCTTCTTGAGGGTGAAGGTTCATTCTCTGAGCTTGTGGGTTGATTTCTAAATGTTTCATTACCAGGATAGGTAACATTTTCAGAAGAGTTTAAGGGATGTCAGTGTCAGTGTTCTTCTGTTTATAAAGGCTTTGTGTGGACAGTCTTCTGATGGTGAGGTCCCATCAGGCGAAGGTCTCATCAGGTCAGGGTTTTGTGATGGTTTTGTGATGTGACCTCTCCACCCCAAGACCTACTGTTCACACAAATCCCTTACATACAGAAGAACACTGACACACCCTAAACTCCACTGAAGATGTTACCTAGCTTGGTTATGAAACATTTAGAAACCAACCCACAAGCTCAGAGAATGAACCTTCACCCTCATCTTACACCCGAGCTACAGATATTTGGCTCTATTGCACACTTCTTCTTCCTAGCATTATTCTCATGCTATGGCAGGGTCCACTTAAAATAAATTTAGAAACACAAGACAAATTTGAAAGACTTTCTCCAGTACCCAAGAGCAAGGTAGAGAAGAAACCCTTTATCTGGGAAAGAAAACTTCTGAGCAGTTGCAAACCAGATTACAGCAGCATCAAGTATCACATTGATTGCTACAGCATCATTACCTGCTGTAATTCCCAATCCTAATATCTTGTAAATACTAAGATAAAAAGATTCACCTATTCATAGAAACATAGAAAACTGAGGGCAAAAAAAGTCCTAGTGGTCCATTGAGTCTGCCGTTTGAGTTTTTTGTTTGTTTGTGTGTTTTTTTTAATTTGATTTATTCATTATTTTTATTTTATTTATTTATTAATTTTTGCAAGATGATAGACGTGTATTTATCCTAAGTTACTGATGTTTGACTCACCCTCTCTGCTTGAAGTTGGTTCCCAGCTTCCACTACTCTTTCTGTGAAGTAATACTTTCTAATATTACTTTTGATCCTCCCTCTTGTCAGTTTGAGGTTATGCCCCTGTATTCTTGATAGTTGCTTAATATTGAAACTACTACCATCTAGAAACTTATGCACACCCTTAATATATTTAAAAGTTTCAATCGTGCCCTCCCATTCCCTTCTGTTCTCCAGGCTGCACATGTTCAGTTCCACCAATCTCTCCTGATACGTTTTGTCCTACAGACCTGTCCTACATGTCTGGAGATGAGCAACGTTTTTGTTGCTGGTCTTTGGACTTACTGAATTTTATCAATATTTTTTTTTAGTGAGGTCTCCAGAACTGTATTCCAAATGGGGTCTGACTAAAGCCCTATATAATAGGATTAGAATACCTCCTCTTTCCTGCTGGTGATCCCTCTAATGCAGGGGTCTCCAAACTTGGCAACTTTAAGACTTGTGGACTTCAACTCCCTGCTTTGCTGGCTGAGGAATTCTGGGAGTTGAAGTCCACAAATCTTAAAGTTGCCAAGTTTGGAGACGCCTGCTCTAGTGATAATCCCAACATTTTGTTTTGTCTTCACAGTTGCCTGGCTACACTGTTTACTCCTTCTGCAGTCATCTGATGAGCACCCCTAAATCCTTTTCTTCTGTTATTCTGTCTAACACTGTAGCTCCCGATACTGTAGTCTGCCAGCAGATTCATTTATGAAGCACATTTTTGGAAGGAATATTTTGCTAGATGGCTAATAGAAAAAGCATTGATCACCACAAAAGCTACTGCAGATTAAAAAGGAGGAGGGAACTATGATCACTGTTATTGACTGGAGAGAAATGATATCCCGACCCCCTGTTCGATATGATTCTGAAGAGATGCAGGCTTGTTGGTTATGACTGTCCACCCAATTTGGCTGGGTGCCCTCAGCAAGCAGGTTCTCAGCAAGCCTGGGGAGTCTGTGGCAGAAGGATCATTACAAATTTATAAATTGTCAGGTATAATCAAATGGAAAAAAGCAGTGGGAAAATAAATGGGAAAGGTCATCTATAAAGAGCCAGGGGAAAAAATACTAAGGCTATGAGTTCTCTAGGATAGTTTGTTCCTATGCATGCACAGCTTTGGCTTCTGCACCAATTACATCTTTTCTGGATTAGAGGTTCTCCTTATAATCATTCATGCCTTGGTTATCACATGAAGCAGTTCTTGAAGAGCACCCAGAAACCAAGGCTAGTGCAAAATGCCGTGCTGTGGGCAATTATGGGCACTTTTTAAAATGTACAGCATGAGAAGCGTACTACAGGCCCTGCCCATAAAGAGTCATCTAGCACAGGGGTCTGCAACCTTGGCCACTTTAAGATTTGTGGACTTCAACTCCCAGAATTCCTC